GGAATGATTAGGTAAATTAAAATGTCTAGCAACTGGTTTCGATGTGTCCCTGTCATTCCTTTCCACGTTGCGAAGGTGTTCTCGGAATCGGCCACCTAGTCTTCTGCCTGTTTCGCCGATGTATATCTTTTTGCAATAAGTGCAAGTTATGCAATAGATTACATTGGCAGAGGTAGTCATTAATCATTCTAAGCAACATATGGCAATCTGCAGTCTTTCCTTTCACTTAGGTAGCACGGAAAGCCGTAAAACTCTTGAACAAAAGCTCATCTTTCAAACCGGCAGTCTAAATCCCACAGGTATCAACGAATGCTTTTCATTCCACTAATTTATTCGTGTTTTTCTCGTTGCCATGTTACCACCAAAAACGTAGCTCCATTTTCTGCCTTTAAAAGCACACATAACCCACAATTCCTCTATTCGCTCAGACGAAGGGCTAACACTCGAAACGCCAGCTTTTGTAATCATTACGGTGGCCAATTTACCATTACAACTTTGTTGATATATCCAAATTATTTCGTTACCCCCCACTGACGCAGCCCCAAACAGTTTCTTTAGAAACTATCAGCCTTTAAACAGTCAAAAGCATTGCCTGGGGCAGTTCCAGGATTTAGGCAAGGAGGGTTCAGAGAATTGTCCCCTTTCTGAAGGGTCCGACATTTTGAAAATTAGGTCTCTGGAAACATGATTTCCAACGTTCTGAGGGAAAATTTAGAGGGTTCAACCAAACCACCCAAACCACCCAAACCACCCCTGGATCCACCCTTGATCACTATACTCATAAAAGAACTACAAACTTAATTTACAGCAAAACAGAAATAGAAGGGCAATATCTACATTAATTAATGTGAGCACCTGTTTCATTGTTGTTGTTTGCACTGAATGAAGAAGTTTGATTGGTTGATTATGGACAGTCTGCATCCATTTTTATCAGAATTAAAGATCAAAAGATTCCTAATTTACCTTGCTTGCTTTGGAACTAAAATACCGTGAGACCACGATACGCCAATTAAAAATCATTTAAAACTGTACCCCTGCAAACATAAAGCCAACTTGAAGAAAAACAAAGCTCGGTTACTAATTCTACAGGCGTGGCTACAAAATATGAACCCGCTGACCTGTCAACACAACCTGCAAAGGGAAAAGATGTTTACAGTTCGAAGCTAGTGCTGAAAATGGAGACATGGTACACGTGGTTACATTATTTTGTTTTCAATCAGACAGGCCTCTAATTTTACATTTAGTACCCAGTGGCTGGAAGAAGAATGGCGGCGGATCGCCCAAGGCGAAGGATCACACAACCCTGTTTGGTATGTAAAACGATTCTTTGGTTGAAGGCGCCTTTGTTTCGAATTTCTCCTGTTAGCGGCGAATCGATCGCCGAGTAAGGAAGCGCTTTTCAGCGATTTCCTGTTACTGTTGCATTGTTCTGTCGATTCTTGCTTTTGTTCTGTTAGATCCATAACTGAACAGCTGTTTGCGAATACCATTTCAACTCCGCAGTTGAAACTGTTGTACTCTTTAAGTTTATCTAATAGGAAGTAGCCCTAAGAACTGTTACAGCAAACGCATCACGTGAATTTGAGTCGGAATAAGTGGTTGTAAGCTTTCGAATTTCACGTCGGCCGGTTGTTCGTAGAGAGCCCGAAAATGGCAATTTCCTCATCTTTGTTTAATTTAGGTTATGGGGAGAAAAAACACTATGCATTCAATATGGGGTTATGACAAAAGTCAAGTGCGCCGTCTGAGTCTTGTATCGTAGTAATAAAAGTTCAAGCCAGACAAAGACAGAATCATGGCCATTTCTTTGGAGAAAAATCGTACGAGAAATAAAAAACATTTAATATGGTGTTGATCACAGCTTAAAACGCAAGTCTTTTAAATAATTGAATATTCAATAACACGGGATCTTCATTAAAAGCATTAGCACTTTAGCGGGTTGAATATTGTCGAAGGCTTTTGAATGTTCTAACACGATCGTAGGAATTCAACAAGCAAAATTATAATATTTTCAGGTAAGGATGAGCATGAAACAACCATGTTGTATTTGTTTTTAAGTATTATCACAAGTACAATTTTTACAAAACGTAAAACTTCAGACATGTATTTCAACGCCTGACGGATGTCAGCCTTGTGTAATTTCATGCATGGTTGCATTTCAAAGTCCTTAAGTCCGAAAATGCGATCATTTGTACAACTTGACCCTCTTTTTTCTTGAGACTTGAGGGTAAAACTGTCATGAAAGCCAAATATTTGATCTCTCAGCTCAGGACTGTACAGTTTTTCTTTTCCATTTTTGATGCCTCATGTTAAAGAGTTTTAATTAATATCAGTATTGGGTAAAATCTTGTTGTTTTTATATTTGTTTTAATTGCTTGTTGATGTACTAACTATTTATTTGTCCTATTTATTTATATTTACTCATGCATTTTGTTTTGTTTTGTTTTTTTTTTTATTCATATTAATGGATTTTTTTCTCAAATTACTGGAAAACTGATCTTTACATCTGCATTCCAGCCTCTTAACTTTATTTTCTGAGAATTTTTTTTCAAGTGCGTCTCCTGCTCTATTACATATATCTTATAAACCAAGCGTGAGGGCCATACTGGGAGAATATTGGCCAGAGGTCTTGACAGTACAGACCTCACTGCGCTCGGTCCTTACAAAAAAGATAGAGGGCCGATTTTCTTCCAGTACAGTCCTGAGCAAGCTTGGTTAATAAGAGATTTATTATACGACTGAAGTTCAAAGGGACACAATGTAATTTAATGTATTTAAATGTAATGTGTGGACTCTATTATAAGTGACTTTGCAAAAAACTTAAGATGCTCAGCATAGCCCATTTAAGAATCAAGATATATTTTCTTCAGCCCATTCTATTTTTCAAAATTATTATAATTCATTTTGGTGGATCTCAGTTGGTGTATATGCAGATGTTTATTAACCTTTGGTGTTACATCATGACAACAACTTCCACCTGATAAGTTTGAATATTCTCATTACCTTTTTTCTGGATATTATATGGATTTTATAGGGAGAAGTTACATGTTAATCACTTCTGGGACTTAAAGGGTTAATAGAAAATAGGAGCTACACAATAATAGGTCCTGTAGGGGGTTAAAAAGCCAAGAGTCAGACAGTGTTCACCAGAAAATTGGTATTCAAGTACCACAACAGGTGTTTTTGTTTCCTCGATAGGAATACAATGGAGGACTTCTACACAAAGAGGAAATTATGTTGCGGAAAGCCATGTATGCCTCTCTTATAGAATCTAAAAAACCTTCACTGAAAAAAATAGATGAGCATCCATCTTCAATGGATCATGAAGGATGTAGTGTTAATGGAGTACTTGAGGATGTGGAGTTTATCTCAGCAGAAGAAGAAATAAATGGTAAGCATTGTGCCATTCCAAATGACGTTGACAATAATAATAGTCTTAGCGTTAACCAATTTGAAGATGTGCCGGCCATCGAGATGCACAGCCCCTCATCAAGTGATGCAGCTACACAGAAAAAGACAAAAATGAACAAGGAACCAAGCAAACTGTTAAATTATGTACTCAAGAAGAAGAAAGAGAAGAAGAATAAGGCCAGGACTTTATTAAGAACTCCATCACCTTTGAAACTTCAAGCTCATGGTGATATTAGAAGTATAGACTTTTCAGGTAGAGAAGCAAATGTCCTGAGAAATACATCTTGTTTATCTCAAAATGGGAAAGTGAAAAAGAAGAAGCGGCAAAGAGGAGCCCTAGCTGTTTTTGTAGCCATGAATAAATCTGCTGGAGGGAAATTGAACAAAAGCCATAGTCTAGGCAAAGAACTGCTAATGAGGGCTAAAAAGAAGAGGAAAAGAAAGCAGAAAAACATGGAGACTCGAGTGTGTGGAGGTGGAGCAGCTGTAGGCCTTTCTCACAATGGGCATCCAGGTGTTGAAAGTGAGGAGTTGCCAACAAAGAAATACAAGAAGGAGGAGAAGAAAAAGTGAGTTGTAATACAGTTGAGCCTTGATTATCTGGACTCTTTAGGACTAGACGAAATAGTCCAATCAAGGGTCTGGATAATCAGGAATATGAATATTAATGAGGAACAAAAACTGATTAAATTAAGAAAGCCACATTTAATCCTGAAACAAAACATTTACAAAATAATTGTTTTGAAAAAGACATGGTCTACGTCTTCACTTTCCAATGGGAATACCTCTACATGTGTGTATTAACAATCAAAATTAATGAAATATGTTTTTACATTGACCTAAAATGTTGAAGTAGTCAGTAATTTGTCTTAAAGAAAAACATCCCCTTTACATCACTTTTCAATGCAGCTGTAGTTGTAAAAAGAATATGGCTACAGATCGTGATCGTGACTAATAAATATTCAGAAAAAATTTGGACCAGAGAAAAAGGTTCGACTTTAACCTGTTGACGACTAGAAGGAAGTTTTAACTTCCTGTATTAGTCATTAATTATGTATCATCAGTTTTTGAATTTTTTTCATGTAAGGTCTCAAGTGTTTTATCAGACACAAAGAGGATTGACAAGTATTGCATTCCACTCAGCTGCTAGTTTTCGATTTTTAGTGTTTAGAATCTTATTGATAATTCATCCCTCTAGCTAGTATGCATTTCCTTATAATCTTGTCCTATGAGGATTTAGTGTAAAATTGAAATACAACAGTCCTTTTCTTTTCTCCTTACCTGTCTGATGGAAAATGTGTTGATATTACAAAGAGAAGTTATTCGTTTTTCATTCCTGGGAGTTGAAGGGTTTTAGTTCAAATGCAAGGGGATTTCATCTGTTTTCATGTTCTCTAACTTGTAAATACATTAATTTACAACAGTCAAATTTTAATTGTTCTTGTGGGTTACTGGTAGATTATATCACTTGTACATGTTCACTTTAAAAAAAAAAAGGTTGAATAGAAATATGACGACAGCAACAACTTTATTTGCACTTTCAAATTAGAATTAGAAATTATTTTAAGTTATGTAAATTAACGAAAAACATGAGTCAAAGATCAGGTAACTCTTGAACCACTGGGTTTGAAATTTGATATCATCCTTATGTTCCAAAAGACTGAAGGACACAAAAAAAACAAAAAACAAAAAAGAATGTACTGGTATGTTTGTCAAAACTAGACAAAGTGATTAAATGAATTGCTATGATCATAAGTATCATCCCAAACTAAACAGCTATCAGATAAAAATGGAAGAATAATCACAGGATACTTTGTAAGATTAGAATTTTAACTTCAATAAATTATCTTATATTACAAAGGACACTAATGCCTTAAATGTGTATTACATCATACAATTTTGAAGGTACATAACCAAGAGAAAGATTTGTAAGAGAAAAAAAGACATTGTGATGGTAACATGATTGTATTCTGCTGTCTCCCTTTGTTACTTAAAATTGGAAACAGTCAAATTAGCAAGTGTAGAGTTTTGCATTTGTATTTATTTCTCATTATGAATACAGCTTATTGATGTGCATCTTTTGTGATTTTGTAGGCCACACAGAATGGTTCAAGCACAGAGAAAATTTGCCAAGAGGCATCCATTAAGTCCCAACAGGTACAAATTTTGTTTTGATCAGACAAAAATAGGTAAAAATAATATCCGTTAAACACTAACATCAGTATCCATATTCTATGTACGCTCTTGTTATTCTCATGATCTCAGTGAATTATCCAGCAGTTTTACTGTTAGGAAAAATAAGGTGCTGGTCTCTCATAGGGTTTTAAAGTGTTAAATTACATATTAATCATTTTATTTTTGGTTTATTTATTTACTCATTTGATGTCTATTTTTTTCAGCATGAGATATCAGGTGGACAATAACTTATATGCAACTCCATGCACAAGAGCAAAGACTGAAGATTTCCTGACCTTTCTGTGTTTAAGAAGTGAGTGGTGTAATGCTTTAGTTTATATTTGAACCCCATTTTCACTCCCAAGATCTCGAGAGTAATTCTCCTTACTGTCTGCCATACAATTCTTATGACATTGGTTCAGAGAATTTGGTACTGGATCAACTAGTTATCCCCCAATTGATATTTTTCTTTATTCTCATTATGTGTCTGAGAGATATTGTATTGATGTAGTAAGAAGAAATTCTCTCTTGGTCACTCTAGAGGTGGTCAGTGGTAGAGATTTAGCCAGCAGGGTTAGGGGGTGAGGTAGATATCCACTGGTAGCCACAGACGCTGAGGTGAAAAGTTGTTTTTAATTATTATTACACGACTCAAGCAGTCAGAGGGCCAATAACTAAAATCAACCAATCAAAATGCTTTATTGCCGGTCCAATATTCTCTAAGTATTGGACTGGGTACTGTCCCGAATGGTCCCGAATAATACCGCACTTGTGTCCCTTTGAACTTCAGTCATATAATAAATCTCTTATTAACCAAGCTTGCTCAGGACCGTACTGGAAGAATATCAGCCCTCGGTCTTTTTTGTATGGACCGAGCGCA